ATTTCCCTTTTCTTCGTATACACATGCTGTATACCTATTTTCCCACTCGGTTCTGGCCAGCTGGAGTTTTGGGATTGGTTATAAACTTTGTTTTCTTCTCTTACTATTTATTGTCTATTTTTACGACGAGCACCTTTTTTACCTTCGTACCTTCTTTTACCTTTTTGCCCCCGGATTTACCCACCGCTTACCAAAACGGGACGATAATGTATATCTAATATGTACAACCAAGTGTGATCATGGATTGGGGATATGTGTATGATTGAAGTGTATATACTTTAGTGTTTAGTTATTTAATATGCACATGACATGCATAGAGTCATTTTCTATCCACTCGGGCAAATCCTTCAAGTATGATAAATCTTAAGAAATATCGTAGATCAATAGGCACAATGAAAACGTTAAATTGTTTATCTAGAACGAAGGCTGATTATTTCAAGCAGGGAAAAAGAACAGCAAGAGAGACTGTCTCCTCGAATATAAGCTTGCCAGCCATGTTTAGACATATATGCCAACATTGGTATCCTTCTTCTTTGCCATTACCTCCGAAATGGCGTCGACGTAATGTTCGTGGCTCACTTTATTGACCCCCTTTCTTAGAGCAATCATACCAGCCTCTACACACACGGCCTTAAGCTGAGCACCACCGAACTCGTCAGTGCTTCTAGCAAGTTCAGGCCAGTTAACTTTATCGTCGACCGTCATCTTACGGGAATGGATTCTGAGAATCTGAGCCCGAGCCTCCTCGTTTGGTAGAGGGAACTCGATCTTTCGATCCAAACGGCCGGATCGTAGAAGGGCAGGGTCAAGGACATCGATACGGTTAGTAGCCGCAAGGACCTTGACCCGATCATCAGAGGCGAAACCATCGAGCTGATTAAGCAGTTCCAACATGGTTCGCTGAACTTCTCTGTCTCCTGATTTCTCGGAGTCGAAACGCTTGGTGCCGATGGCATCGAGTTCATCGATGAAAATGATGGCCGGGGCCTTCTCTTTGGCCAGGGCGAAACAATCACGTACCAACTTGGCACCATCACCAATGAACATTTGCACTAACTGGGGACCGGCAAGTTTGAGGAAAGTTGCCTCTGTTTGAGCGGCGCATGCTCGGGCAAGGAGAGTCTTACCAGTTCCGGGTGGACCGTACATGAGAGCACCTATGAATGACGTTAGAAGTTATTCAACCTCATATACGATCCAAAATTAACTGAGGTATTGAATAGCATACCTTTGGGAGCCTTGATGCCAATCTTCTTAAATCTGTCCGCCTCCTTCATGGGCCATACTATAGCTTCAAGTAGTTCTTCAATCTGCTTGTTCAGGCCACCAACATCGGAGTACTGTTCGGTAGGCTTCTCGTCTACCTCCATTGCCTTTACACGGCTGTCATACTCGGCAGGAAGGGTATCCAGAACAAGGTAAGAGTCTTTGTTCACACCAATCAAATCACCGGGTTTCAGTTGTTCGTGGTCAACGAGTCCGATGAGTGGGAGGAGAATGGTTTGTCGTGTGGAGGTTTTGATAACAGCGGACTTGCCGACTCGGGTGGCATCGAGGTCAATATTTGCCCCCTCTTCTGCTGCCTCCTCTTCCACGTCAAGATCCAGTAACTCTACAACATTGCCAACTAGGTAGGGAAGTTGTCTACGCAAAAATAGAGTTAGTTCGAATATTCATTTCAAGGCTGCTGAGGAACAACATGGACACCTACCGGTTATTCTCAATCTTGTCAAAGTTCTCCTTTATCTTCTCCTTCATCGTATTCTGCTCATGCGTCAACCGCTGGAATTCACTCTTCATGATCCGCATGTCGTTTTCGATAAGTTTCCTTCGGTTGATGATATCCCTAGTGCTTGACCGTAGGATTTCCTCATCTATGAGATCCTCTTCCTCTTTCTTTTCTGCCTCCTTCATCTCCGCGTCTCCGTCCTTGTCTGCCCCCTTCTTGTCACCCTCTTTCCGGTCATCCTTTTGGTTCTTGTCCTCGCGCTCAAGGTCATCAAGATCCTCTAAGGTAGACATGGCGGCTAAATGCGAGGATAATCCGTGGAAGAATAGGTTCGGTTCGGTGGAATGTCAGAAATATTCCAGGTCTGTGCCTTATAGTGCAGATCCAGGTACGCAGGTTGCGGGACAGAGGCGCAAGTGTAGGCTGTTGAGGTTGTTGTTGCTGGTTGAAGCTCAAGAGAGCCAAAGCAGCTTCATCCAAGCTGATGCATCACGTAAGCTGTCTGTTTGCCTGCCAGGTCACGTGGCAACTTTTCTTCCGGCCCTCCCACGATTTCAACAAGGCTTCTCTATACAAAGCACCGTCTAATTTATTGTCAACAATAATGAGAAAATAGAAGCTCGAGTCATAGTGCATTGATATCTAATTCTAAACCTCATACATCCTCCTTAAATTTTTGGCAGCAAAGTGCAACTATTTTCTTCCATAGATGGAGACTTCCTCCCATCATTAGATCTGGGCCAGCACTTGGTCTCTTCCGTTATTAAGAAGGCGGTATCGGGATATGAAATCATCGTGGTTGACTATCAAAGTGGAATGTTAACATGTATCCTATTTCTACTCAAGATACCCTTAGGTGTTTCTGGAGTACTCACTATAACCACCACACATCCGCCTCTTCCCGGTGAAGGCAGAGCGGCCGTGGAGAATTCTCCAGTTATCGAATACTGGATGATGGAATGCAGTTAGCTTACCCTCTTTTTCAATCATTTTCATCCTAGGAAGGAGACACTTACTGAGGGGTGTCCCTGGTTCAAGTTTGAGCCAGATCTCCATATCAGACCGCTTGAGGATTGCATTCCATTTCTTTGCAGCTTGGTACCAACGATGGATGGTTTCTAGCGAGTTCCCTTTTCCCGGTGCACGGTCATCGTTGTTCCACCGAATCTGGTACAACTCAGATGAATCACTCATGTGATTCAATACCGAGAACGAAGTGGCTGGCTGAATACAGACATCTTTGTTTCCACTGGAATGCGAGCTGATTTTGATATCGCTAAGCGTCTGGTAGGCCACAGGATCTTCTTCAAGCAGAGTACGAGCGGCTTTGAACCCGTCAACCAGCAGCGTCTCCCCGCCCTTTCCGTCAGTGTGAGATAGGATGTGGAAGAGTTGAAGTCCGGCAGGGTCAGTAAAGTACGTTGTGTCCGTGTGCGCATTGAGATGTTGTGATGTGTAGGCTGTATCTTTCATTGAAAGATCAGACGTAAAATCCCAGAAGCCTCCTACTCTGTTTTAGCAAATCATAGTGACACACGGTCCAGGGCTTCATCTCACCGTAATGGGTAGGTCTGATGAAAGCCAGCCTCTCTAATAACCGCTCAGTTGCTCCAGGAGTAGCCGGGCTTCCTTTCACAAAACTAAAGCCGAATCGATACTGATAGGGATGAAACGTAAGCATGTGCCATACTGAACATGACGTTTAGACCTAAGAACCTACTATATTGCTTGTCCATCTTCGTATGCCCTCGTCCGATGACATCACTTCCTCATACTCGACAGAGGGGAGTGATTTTGATGTGCTTTCGACATACTCAAGATCATTCCTAGGAATATGATTAGATCAGAAGCCAAAGCAAGACACCGAGATTACACACCTTATGAAGGGCCTCTCCGCGGGAGCTGCACTTGAAGATGTATGGTTTTTTAGCCATTCATAGGTATAAGTACTTTTATGCCCGTCTCCTGCCCCTTTTCCGATGTCAGAAGTATACAGAGATGTAAATTCTATGCGAGGTCATACACACATTCTATTTCGAGACCGTTCTCCAGAGGTTTTATAGTTGACGGTTTACCATCATCTGGTAACTGTCCCACTTGTCAGCCTTCGGCTGGCCCAGGGGGTATAGAATAGGTATTCTCGACCTACAGAAAATGTATCCAGGAGGCGTTGTCTGGTTTCCGGGTGGACGCATTCGTGGCATTGGCAGTTATCCCTTAACCAGAGGTTCGACCTATACCTGTCAGTTTACCTCCTATACTGAAGGTAAGGATGTACAACTACCATTTGTGTCCTTCAACTCCGGGGACAGGGAGAGATACAGAAGGCACAGTTGAAGAGGTATCGGCCTGTTTTAGTCGAGACGATACGCTAGCTCGCACTGGCAACGAAAAGCATCTTGCTTCTCTAGGGTATATATGCAAAGCTGGTTTACTAACTGCTTGCTATATATTGGGGCATAATGCCGCTGTTAACACTGATTCCGCAGTGTCCTGCAAGTTTATGCTGTGGTGGTGTAGACCAACCTGTGCAGTTGTGGGCAAGCGGGCGCATGTCCCCGGCCTAGACAAATATGTAAACGCTGGGTTAACTAGTTATTATATTTGGCATGTCAATATTGACGATTGAACTTACCGCGCGATGCCCGTAGCTCGAATACACCGGAAGATATTCATGATTGCCATGCTGTACAAGTTCGACGACGTAGGGACATGAAAAGAAACGGGTTCAACCGTTAGATTTAACTAGAGAGCGGGGTTCCTCTATGGCCCAGATGAGGCTCGGATAATTCGTTAACTAGTTAGTTGGCTATTTATTTTACTTGGCCTGTTCTAACACGGAACGACGACTCTCAGGGGCCTCATGTAGAGAGGGTTGTCTATCAATCTATCAAATATCTAACAACCGAAGAATGCCACATTCAATACACTCCTCCTAGCGTTGATCCTCGGTATCTGCCTGTGATGCACGTCACCTTTACATGTGCTCTACAGGGTCTTTCGTTTCAAAAGTCGAAATAACATGACATCAATGTAGTGCCTTGCATTCTTTGGCGGCTATTAAGTTTCGGAGTTTTTAATCTCGTCCAGGTCGCGATGAGAAATAGTCACTAAACACAAGCAAGAAATCCGCAAACACCCCAGCCCGGTACAATAGAATCACATCTGCTGGCTGATAACATCTGGCTGAATGGACATAACACCCATGGTTCCGTGGGTGATTAAGCCTCTTTGATCCCGTGGCGCTATGGTTCAGTGTCTGTGAGAGTATCTACAGCTTGCTCTTAGTCCCGACAACTCTCACGAGAGCACGGCCGTTGCTCAAGACAACCTTCCCTTGACCATTTTTAGTGGTGAAGATGATTTCCTCAAACCCATCCTCTATTTTACCTGTCCTCCACATCTCCGTAGTAAGCTTATCGCCAGGTCGAACTGGAGAAGCGAATCGAGCCTGGAACTCTTTCATGTTCTTGGGATCACTGCCACCTAATTTAGCAAGTACGGCATGGGCTACCATATTCCAACTGAAGAGGCCGTGAATTATAACACCACCAAAACCCATCTTCTTCCCTGGTGCAGGATCTGCGTGAAGTGGGTTGTAGTCGCCGTTGAGTCTGAAAGTATCTAATGTTAGAAGCAGAACCAACAGGAGGGGAGTAGAGATACTTACCTATAGAGCATGGCGGTGTTTTCAGTGGTTTGATACTCGTGGACTGCATCGGGGTTCTTGCCCTGGGGTGGGGAGAAGTTCACACTCGCAGGGCCTAGTGTTTGTTGTTAGCATAAAGACGATGTTCCCGGTAATTGTGTAAGGTAAAGCTCACCCTTTGGACCGCCCCAATTGCCCTGGCCGATATAGAATGCACTTCCAATCATCCTTGTGTATAACTCTCCGGTTTCCTTATCAACGATTAAGTACTCCACTTCCACAACAGTGCCGACTTTTCCCTTATCGTACACGCCAATGACCCTGGATTGTAGCTCAAACTTGCGGCCCTCGCTAGTGACAGGAAGGGGTTTGTAGAAGATCATTCTCCTCTGGCCATCGACAGTACGTTTAGGATCAAGAGGAGGTACACCTGGAATGGCTCTGCTGGCTTTGCTTGAATAGAAATCAATAACCTCCTGAGAGGTATGTTTAAACGCTAGACCAGCCGTTAGAATATATTGGTCGAAAGGCATAAGAGGTATATTAATCGAAGAATGGGTAACACACGTAAAATGACAGGATATGTTGGGAAAGCTGCAAAGTTTGGGTGTAATTCCTGGAGTAACCAGTCAGCTGTCTATACTTATATTGAAAGTGTCATTATACATACATAAAGAAAATGGAGTTCATCCGCAGTGCATCCAATGCTGTTTGCAAAGAGGAGGATGTCTCTCTTCATCCAACTCACATCCTCGCTGGGGAATTGATGGCCGGCTCCTGGTCCGCTCATACTTGCGATTAAGTTTTCTTGTAGTAGGGTATTTAGTGATCCCCTCTCAGGATGTAAGGTATAGTGGTCAAAAGTAGCCTCGATATATATAAGTAAAATGTAGATACTGGAGGCCTATGATGAGTGTACGACGGTTTTAGTATGCCTGGCTTCTTCGGCTCCTTTGCTTGAGTTGAAGTTCCTCTGGACCGAGGCTTCTCTGCGCGGAATAACCGGTTTAGTCAGCAGAGCTACCCGCGTAAACTTAATAGGGGCTCTACCTAGACGAACGGTTATGAAGAAAAAATTGCATGCCATTAAACTAAACAAACCGGTTAGACTAAGCATCTACTCGAGGGTATCAATTGCAAATCGAGGAGCTTTATAAAATCGCCGTTTATATCATCATCTCTCCTTTTCTAGACCATTCACTTCATAACATGCCATATTCTTTTCCAACGCCATTGCCATCTTGCTAGTTGGCACTTTTCCTCGAGCCATACGTCTTGTAGCGAATGAAAGCGGGAAAGGAGCCCAATGCAGATCCAAATCGATTTTAGCATATAAAATAGCGAAAAATTAATGCAAGCATCGCGCAAAATTCTTTTTATTATTCCCCCTTTAGCACATTCTGTACTGGCAGAGGCCCTGGGAGTTACGAGTCTCATCCTGGGCATCAAACTCAAACCCTATGGTAATGTCGAGATCACGCTTATTCTTCTGGTTTGGCCTGTTTTCCAAGAATCCAGTGACTGATTCCTGGGCGCGGATGGTGAGTACGTCGCGGAGGTAGAAAACTGTCTGCTTCCAGTGGGTATACTTGGCATGTGGGCCAGTTGAGAAGTGAACGGGCTTGTGGCAGGCGGTGAAGTCAATATCGAACCAGGCGATCAGGGCATGAATATAATCGTCGCGTCTTGCAGTAAGGGTGAAAGGAACCTTGAAGGATAGATCCGCAGTGGTGACGGTGTAAAGGTCGAGAGTGACTATAGCACAGGGGTCGCTGACAAGGGCTTTAAGTTCAACGGTATCGACGAGTGGCTCGGTAAGAGCAACATCCTTCATGGCAGAATAGTCAAAGCCATAGACGTTGTCCCAGACTAACGAATGGGGTTAATATTGTGAAATAAGAAGGGGGGGGAGGAGGGAGGAGGGGGAAAACCATACATCCGATCTTCTCCTCCTTGTAGTCGCCATCCTCAATAGCTCCAAGGTAGATGGTGGCCTTGTCGGGGAAGATTAAGCCATTGGGATTGAGGTAATTGTCCCTGGCGTAAAGGACGGTGTCCAACATGGACTCGTAGAGAAGGAAATAACCCATCCACTCGGAAATAATGATATCAACCTTGGGGAAAGGAAGCTCTACCTCCTCCATCTTGCCCTGGAGAAGGGTTATCTTGTCAGACATTCCATTTGCCTCGACGATCTCGCGGGCCTTCCCAATGATGGAAGACATGTCGACACCGATAACATGTTTTGCGCCAGCCTTAACGGCAAACCTATTTACGCATTCTCATCAGTAATGAATTCGGTTAAAGAATGCAAACGGCGGGACATACATGCTGAGGATACCAGTGCCACAACCGACGTCCAAAACCACCTTATCCTTGAAAAGATGTTTGCTGTTGTAAATAGCATCGCGGTATGAGCGAGTTCTCACTTCATCTTTCTATAACAGCCACACATTAGTACGTATTCATCCCATACATTCTTATTCCCGTCCTAACTCACAAGCATCTCTTCATGGATTCCTGCAACACATCATTTCTGTTAGCCCAGGATCGACCAATTCCTCACTTTGTGCTAACTATTGGTGGGGTATTTATTACCATAATGATCATAACTATGGAATAGTCAGCGATAATCCTGGATATGAAATAAAAAGGAGACATACCTCGTGAAGTAGCGGACTTCAGCATGGTCCATTCCAACCATTCTATCGGCGCTGGAGGCAGAGAAGCCAGCATTATCTCCTGAAGTATCCATGGCTGATATCAAGGAGGGCAACAAATCTAGCAAACAAACGATATGCAAAAACGACCACAACGAGTTTCCTTGCAACAGAAAACGACTTCGAATATGATCTCAACTGTAACGAGAGGATAAAAAACAGAGACAAATTCCACAAGCTGAAAAATTTGGACTTTTCCTTTCTCCTCCTCAAGGCTTTTTTCTTTCTCC